TTTCTTTATCCTCTTAACATTGTGGCAGACCTAAGCTCCTTCCTTATCTTTTATTCACTGGTTTGGTTATCATTTTGTCTTTTAAAGCAGCCTTCCATGAAATCCCTTTCCAATGATCCCTCGTGGACTTGTTACGTTCACTCGACGTTCACCTTTTCAGCTACACAATATAATAGAATAAAAATAATAGAGTTTAGCTTTGAATCTCAATGGTCATAATGTTTTGGTTTGGCAGAACTATTTAAAAATTTATTAACTAACTTTACTAAACTACGAAAAATGTTAAAATTCGTTAAGTAATAATAATAATAAGAAAATGTTTTTTTTTTTCATAAGCCCGTATAGCCAAATGAACCTAAAGTCATTGGAGTTTAGGCTTATTTTGATTAGAACTGAAAAGTCAATTTTTAATTTAAAATTAACAATTTTTAGTATTATAAAAATATAAAATATAATTTATACCACACAGAGAAAAAGTGTTATTTGAGTAGCCTGAATAGACTCAACCTAAAAATTTTGTTATTTTATTAATCTTGGCCCTAAACTTTTTAGATTTGTTTAGGTTAACCCAAATTACCGATTCGATATATATTTAAAAATTGTAAATATATAAGACTATTTTCAGCCATTCACCTAAAAATAAAAGAGGATAATTTCTAAAAGCTATTTTTCTGACTCTAATAGTGTCCAGCCATTTTCAGTAGCATATTTCAAAATTAATGAATATCTTTAAATAAAAAATACAATTACTTTTAGAAACACTTGTGCGTATCTGACTTCAAAACCTTTTCTCTTTCTTTCTTTTGTTTTTTGTTTTTGTTTTTTGTTTTTTGTTTTTTTGTTTTTTGTTTTTGTTTTTTTTTTTTTGTTTTTTGATAAAAGAAAATGTACAAATCACAAAAGCACACTAATCTTTGAGCACTCATCTCCTAACCACCACAACGGCACAGCACCACACCACCATTGCGCAGCACACCACTGGTGGACTAGTACTACACTCCTCTCATTTTTAACTAATTTTGGCGTTTCTCACCTTTCTCTCACTCCTTCTTGCATCTCTCTTCTCATTTGCTTCTTTATCTATTCTCCGAGCTTGTTCAGTGAGTGAGTTTGAGCAAAACAGTAATCTTCTCCTCTCCAATCAAGCTCTCTTCAAAACCTGAGAGGATACAAACTTTGGCGGAGCCTACGTTTTTGCAGACCTCCATCCCTGTTGTGATAGCCATTACTTCTGCTGCAGCTCACTGCCGAGTACCAATTTTTTTTTTTCACATTATGAATTTTCAGAGGCTCCTGAGCTCAAATGATCAGGTACATACTATGCATGATCTTAGCTTATCTTATATTCTCTATACTTCGCATTTCCTTGAGCCTTTCTGCTTCCAGGACCGCTATTTGTTTCATACCAGAGAAATAAAATTAAAAAAAAAAAACGCAAGCAGTCTAACGCGACTGCACCACCCAAAGGTCGGAAACTTTTTGGCCATCCCCTAGAGCTCCTTTCGTTTGTTTTACACTGTCCAGCAGAAGCTCCTCAGTTCTTTCAAAAATGGCGGAAGGCGCAGCCGGCGAGGTCGCCCACCCAGCCTCTACATTGGGCTGACCAATTTATGGCCGCTTGCTTGTGGTCGGCTCCGACTCTGTTAA